TCAATGTTTTTGTCTGCCACCCATGGGTCCTTGATCAGTTATCAGTGTGGTGATTGTTAGAGACTAGAGGGAACTCTTTCTATATTTCATAATTTTTTCTTTTTTTTTACTTATAAATATTCTCTATACTTTTGTTATGGCATTCTCCATATTCTGTCTATTGTCAAAAGTTTACTTTAGTTTCTTCATAATGTATCAAAGAATTCCCACAAAGAATTATACACATTTAAAATTTTATCATTGTCCGTTACCAAATGACTCTTTACCTTTACAATCTCTTCAATTTTTTATATGATTCATGCTATCAGTGAATTATTACACTGAGTGTCTTTTTTGATTTTTGAATTATTATTATGTTCATTTCCAGCATAAATTGAGCTTGTTTTCTTCATCAATTCTTTGTCTTTTTTATAGATTGGATTTCTTTCTCATTTCTTTCAGCACTTTCTGAGGTTGTTTTGATGATCTTGTTGTTCTGAGGAATATTCATCTAATCTTTGAGTTCAATAAACATAGGCATAATCATTCTTTTGTATTTTTTCCTGGCATTACTATGCAATGAGTAACACAGGAGTGGGAAGGACATGGTGATTTGGCAATTTATTTTCCGTTTGTTTGTGCACAAGTACTTGTATTCTGAAACTTTACTGTATTCATAAGGTCCTACAGGTTTTTATTAAATAACGTTGTATTTTTTAAGTAAATCATCATGCCATCTGCAAATTTGGATGATTTGATTTATTGCCTTTATATTCTGTTAAATTTTATGTCTTTTCCTTGCCAAAATTACAGCTAAGACTATAAGCACTATACCAATTGGAGAAGGATAAATTGCATATTCTTATTTTGTTCCTGATTTTAAAGAAAATGTTCTCTGTTTGCCTCAATTTAATATAATTTTGTCTATAGTTTTCTTCTATGCACTTTTACTTTTAGGTACATAGCATCTATTCCTAAGACTCCAGAACGTATTTCATGACAGTGTGTTGAACTTTGCCAAGTGACCTTTCAGCATCATTTGAAATAACTATTCTATTTTAACTTTTGTATTAATTCATGTAGGATATGTTAGTGATAGATATATGTATATTGAACCAACCTTGCATTTGAGGAAGGTGTTCACTTGGTTGTATGATTGAAACTCACTAATACATTACTGAATTTAATTTACAATTATTTTATGAAGAAGTTTTGAGACTATATTTATCAAGGAAAGCATACATTATTTTTGTAGTTTCTTCACCCACTTATGGTAGCGAGACAATACAGGAATCATCAAATGAATTTGAAAGTGTTAAGTCACTTTTTATCTTATGGCAGTTAAGAAGAAGTGTTATTAAGTCTTCCTTGGAATTGAGACAATTCAAAAGTGACTTTCTCTTTTCAGGTCTTTTTTTTTAAAAGGAAACTTTTAAGAAGAATATCAATTTATTGATAAAGGTTCTGTTAATGTTTTTATATCTTTCTGGATTAATTTTGGTAGATGATATGAACTTTGAATTTCTACTTGTTCCAGGTTATTCAGTTTTTCAGGGTTTAAGTTTCCATTATAATTTCTACTGATATTCTGAGTTACAATGGGGTCAGCTGAAATGATTCCCTTTTGGTGTGAGACTCTTATATTTGAAATTATTTATTGACTATTTCTTTTTGTTCAAATCATCTTTATTTTTACAGTGTGGGTATGCACAATTTTCAGTAGGGGACTGATTCATGAGAAGGGTGAGACATATTTTCTTTCATACAACTGGTATCAGGATGCTGTTGACATGAACTGACATTATCCATGGTTCAGAACAGCCCATTGATTGTCCTCTAATGACTTGTATTTTTTTGTGTATCTCTCAAAGTCTGGAGTTTCTACTTTTGGTAAGTTCTGTTGACTCTATAGTAATGAGACTTTTGGATCAAAAGTTACAGGGACTGTAAGACCATGAGGAGAAGGTATTTTACATCATGGGGTGGTGCAAGTACAATTGGAGGCATGGGCATGAGAGATTGTGTAAAAAGCTAAGACATCTGGGATCACATGGAAACAAGAACCTAGAGGAGCTGAGGACTATTGGTAGGTAATATCAATGAGTACTCATCAGTTCAGAGAAGCAAGACCATGGAGTGGATTGCCTAACTTTCAGAAAAGAGCAAAGACATAATTATGGTAAGAGGAAAGATATCACAGGAAAAGAACAGGATGGTGGAAATAGAGGAACGGGATTATTTGGTTGTTCATCTAAGGTGGTGGGTATTTAAAGGAACAGGTGGGTTTTCTTTTGTGAGAAAGGGTTGGCCTGACTAATGAAGAGAGATATGCATGTCCATGAGGATCTGTGTGACAATAGAATATCACATGAATTTAAATAGAAATACCAGGGAACTTAGTGAAGTTAGAGAGAGCTAAGAGTGTGTTTTTGATGGGCATAATCAGGTCTGCATTGTTGGAGGAGCTAGCTCTGGAAGGAGCTAAGAGGCAAACACAAGTATTCAATGTGTTTTTATTATTGGTCAAAGAATAATCTCAGACCGTATTTACACTACTTTAATTAAGATTGATTTTTTTTCATGACATAACTTTGAGTATTATGCATGTTTCAAAATTGTGTCGTCATGTACAGGATTTCTAAATAATACAAAGACCACACTAGACTACCAATAAATGCAATCTTAAATGTCCAAATTTAGAAGTTATTTATGGAAAAATAATATTTTATGGACTTTTCATATCATTGATTTCGGCTCTGAGTATCACACACTAATCATTATGCATAAATCAATAGTAACCTAAACACCTGAACATAATTTCTTCAACTTCATACCTTGGTTAAACATTTGTAAAATTTTGCTAACCTTCTAAAATTCACAACATTGTATTATAATATCCTTAGTGGAGGAAATAATGTAAATTTGGTCTCTAGCAAAAATATATTAAAATATGACTTTGAATAATATCCCAAAATATAATAAACATTAGATAATTCTGAATTTGTTCTCTACTCAGTTTTCTCTCTCTCCTTTGCTGTAGGCATTCATATGTTTAATATTTCTACCACAAAACTCCTTAAACTGTAGCAGGAAATGAAAACAAGTCCTCCTTGTGTCCATGAAACCAGCCTAGACCTGACCCTGCACCTCTGGCATATAAGCCTAGTACCAGATTCGGATGCCTTCCCATTCAGTGATTTCACTAAACAAATCTCACTAACCAAGAAGTAGTGTGTGAGTGATTTCACTGTTGCTTATATAATTTTTAATTAAAATATTTTTGTTAATTTCTTAATCTAATTTCTGTACACATCAATATCCTCACTCATTTTCCTGTCGTATCCAAAACTATCTATAAAATTCATTAATTCTTCAACCTAATTTAACCTTTACCAGTTTCACTCTTTTCTCACTGTCTCTGTCTCTCTTTTTCTGTTTATGCTTAACATATTGAGCTTCATCATATTTACATATATAAACATGCGTCTAATGCGGTCGCTAGGAATTCAATTAACTATCAAAGAGCTTCTTGAGAAAACTTATTCTCTCACTCTCAGCAGACATTGATAACCTGTAGCTCTTCCTTTAAAGCGGGGACCCTAGAGATTTCATGTTATGCCTTGAAATTCTAATTTAGACACATGTGGTCAAGATTCTAAGTGTTCAGCACCCAAGTCAAGTGTTGAAAATATGATCTCATAGCAAAATCCTGATCCTGAATATATTACAATAATTCTGTCCCATCTTCATGACATCTCCTGAGCTTTAGGTGTAGGGTTTTTATTGAGGGTGTATCAACTTTACTTGGGCATCACTGCATAAATTATTCTTTGCAAATTCTTTTGCTATGTTTCCTCCTGGAACTAAAAAACAAAGACTTTGTTAATGAAGGTGTTAGAACTTTTATTTGAGGGTATAGGTATGATATTTGAGAATGCAGGAAAAAAACAAATACTACTATTCCGCTATAGAAGACATAGGAAAGAGAAACTCTGAATAAAACAAACCTGCCTGGGATCACTAAGAAGCAAGAATTTTGAAGAATAGGAGGCCTACCTACTAAATAAGAACAATTTCTACATACAATACAGAGAAACATGACCAAGATGAAGATTACCTAAGATGGGGCAAATAGCAGAAACAATATGAAGGCATGGAGGAGAAGGTTTCAGAAAGAAAGTACACTGTGGAAGAGGAAGAACCTGGAATACCTGGTGGTGAAACTCAGGCAAGTCTCTAAGGGCCCAAGTGGGTCAATGAGTGTGAATTAGTAGACTTTGCTGATGGTGTGAAAAAGGCAAATATTTGTGGTACCAGGGAGTAGAAGCATGTGGAACGGAATAAAATAATACCCAGGGGGTATTAGAGAGGTCACAAAGGACTGGGAATAGCTTTGTTATTGAGAAGAGCAGGTCTCTGTGGTTGGTGTGAACAATTAGACCTGCAGAAACTAAATGGAAAACACATATCTACAAGATGTATTTTTATGATTGCTCAAAATTAATCTCAGACAGTATATATATACTGTCTTTCATTTTAGGGGGGTAATCAATCTTAGAGATTTCAACATAATATACTTATATACCACTGATTATAATTCACACAAAGGCAGTTAAGGGGTTTACAATTATAATGAACAATAAAGTAATATTATATATTAATATTTACTAATATTACAATACAAAGCCATAAACTCATACCAAGCAAATATTCTTTTTTTCCTTTTTATCTTTTCTTTGATACACCATTTCATAGAGACAATTATCAACACACACCAATGATTCTCCTGACTCAATGGCTTGCCTATCATGCAAGGATTTGAATGACTACATTAGTTACAGGAATGGAAAACATCCTCTACTAACTGAACTATGTCCCAAAAACAATAAGTGATAATATGATCCTATAAATGTTAGTTCAGTGCTTATTTTTTTTCAGACACCTGTACCAAAAACTCTATCCTCTAAGTTGGAGGAGATTCACTTGGGCCCTTAGACTCAGTTCCCCATATAACAAGAAGATATGCAAATAATTTTCTCTTCTGCTCATTAAAACTAGCCATGACTCTACAGTTTGACACAGGCACCCAGGTCTGCACTCAAAAATCCTCCCATTTTGTGGTCAGCCCTGAACACATAACATCTAAGATGTACTTGAGGCTGAGCTGGATTTTTCTTTTTGCTCTTTTTGAAGGTAATGTATAGATAAAGGGAGATGCTAAGTATTTGGGCAAATATAAGTGAGAGTGACAAAGGAATTTTATGGTAGTTTTCTGACAAGATTCTCTGTGTTTGCAGGTGTCCAGTGTGATGTGCAGCTAGTGGAAACTGGGGGAGGCTTGGTACAGCCTGGAGGGTCCCTAAAACTCTCCTGTGCAGCCTCTGGATTCACATTCAGTGACTACTGGATGCACTGGGTCCGCCAGGCACCAGGAAAGGGCCTAGAGTGGGTTGGTATGATTACAGACAAACTTGATAACTATGAAACACACTATGCAGAATCTGTGAAAGGCAGATTCACCATCTCAAGAGATGATTCAAAAAGCATCCTGTACCTGCAAATGAACAGCTTAAGAGTTGAAGACACTGCCATTTATTACTGTACTGACAGCACAGTGAGAGGATTCCAGTGTGAACCCTGACACAAACCTCCCTGCAGCAATGCCTAGAACCAGCAGGGGGCACAGAGCACACATGAGGCAGTGCAGGAACAGGTGCAGACAGAATTCAGTGCTCCTTTATATGGCCCATGTACTGAATTCATATAATGCTTTCTGTGTTTATGTTTTGTGAAATCTGTGATAACAAAGTCCTGTTTTGACACAATTTAAAGTATATACACCACAGGGTCAACATAAATTACTTGTAAAAAATCACCTTTGATAATAGAAATGACTATGGTGAGGATACTAGGATCAAATGTCAAGGATGGTCTACACTATTGGGGAAGCTTTTCATTATTTTTGTTTATCTAACCTCTGGCCATTGTTACAAACAGATAGGAGACACTTACTGGAAGTTTTGCTGAGGGCTAGCCTATGCGAAACACTGTAGGATGTGGAGAAGGTTGACAGTGGATGAAAAAAAAAACAAAAGTTTTTTTAATAAAAGTTAAAAGAACATGACTGATACCAAGTATGGTAGAGGAGAAAGTTTATTATAGCTATGTGGAAGAACATAACCAGAGGAAAGGTGTCTGGGAGAGTCCAGAGTGAATATTACCCTGAGCAATGTGAGGAGTGGATGGAGGGATAAGTTACTGGAGAGAGGTTACCAAGTAAATCAGTCAAGGGGCCCAAAGGGGAGATGACAGTCCCATGTGACAAAAATAGTTGAATTATGCACAGAAGAGCATTTGGGAGTGGGAAGCAGAGCCCAAAGAATGGAATATTTAAGGTAGGTGGAAGGAAATATCAGTCATAAATGTCCAGTAACAAGTAGGAACTGAACATGTAGAAAGAGTCTGTTCATCACTCTGCTTCGGTATTTTAAATAGGCACCTAAGCCACTTTTCCAGGTTTCAAAGCTAGGATCCCAGCCTTATGTTAATAATTAATAAATGAAAGGAGCAATGTGCAACCTTGTCAATGACTACTTCCTGATGACACTGAACCTCACTCATGTATACTGGGGACAAAGGAAATTGAAATGCTGGTTTTAGGCATTGACTGTGCATTACCTGAGCTGGTTCTGAGAAAAATTCTAGGAGAAAAGACATGTGGACTTCACTTGAAGCAATTTCTGAGAGAGGACTAATTGAGTGAGCACATTTAAACTGGTCCAGGAATGCAAATTTTGAGGAAACATTACAAGCTATTTGATGGAGCAATCTGCATTTGATTTTCAATATGATACAGCAAATATACAAGGGTGAAAATGTAAAATAAGACACTTAGGGAGTTCTTTATGTGGATGAGCATTTGAACATTAAGGCCCATATACCTGGTAATTGAGGGAGAAGGAAACTCATGACCAATGGAGACAGAGAATGGGGGAGAGAGTGTGTGAGAAAGAGACAGATCCCTAAATGAGGAATAGTGCAAAGAAGCTGGTGGGAAGCACACTGTTTTTGTTTTTGTTTTTTTACAGTACTTATCTGTAACATGAGGGGGCCTGTTTGTTATTTGGGTTTTCTGTCCCGCCCCGCGCCCCAGCTGTTTAGTCCCAGAGAAAAATCACACACGGATCTCTATAAGTCATAATGCTGATTGGCCCATTAGATCAGGCTTCTTACTGGCTAACTCTCATATCTTGATTAACCCATTTTTTCTGATCTATGTTAGCCATGAGGCTCTGTAACTTTTTCAGAGGGGCAGTTCACATCCTGCTGCTTCTGTGATCTGGGCAGGAGTGGGAGGAATCAGCTTCCCCCTTCCCAGAATTCTCCTGCTCTCCTTGCATCATTTCTACTTCCTGTCTGGGTTTCCCACCTACACCTCCTGCCTGGCCAATCAGCATTTATTTAAAACATGATTGACAGACTACAGACAATTCTCCCTCATCACTTCCCTCTCTTTTTTTTTTTTTAAAGGAAAATATCCATAGTCCATTTTTTGGGAATGTGGGCATAGTATTCCAGGCTACTTCCAGCTGATTGAGGAGGGTGAAATCTTATGGGGACCTAAAGAAAATTTAGAGTTATGATCAAGTCCTGACTGAAGTATCCTGTGAGTCTTGATCATCTCAGGCAGCAGTCTTGAATCTGTTCTGGATGAAGAACTCAGACATCTGGGCCATCTGTTCCTACTGGAGATTGCTCAGGTGGTCTACCTTGGCCAAAGATGATTTTTCTTAATCCTGAATAAATCCAGAGCCTCTCATTTTCTGTGGAAACAAAAGCAAAATCTCTTCTCCAAAGTAACATACCTTTTGACTTCAATTTTGAAGCCAAGGTATTTTCAAAATACCTTTCTTGGATTGATTTTGCAGCATTTATAAGCAAATATCTTTTAGCAGCTGTTGCTCCTTCCTCAGCATTCAAACAATTCAAAGAGAGCATAATAGCAAACAGTATCAAGATTCTCTGTGTATTTTCCATCTTTATGTGACTTTATTTTAACCTCTATTTCTTTTATTTTCACTTTTAACTTTTGGCTTTTTGAGACAGGTTCTCTGTATATCTTTGTCCTGGAATAACTCTGTAGACCAGGCTATCTTTGAACTCCTAGAGATCCGTCTGTCTCTGCCTCCCCAGTGCTGGAATTAAAGGTGTGTACCACCACACCCAACTATTGTCTTTCTTTCTTTTTTTTATTTCTAAGGACTTTAAACAATTTAGAGGTTTTTTTTTTCTTTGAATCTCTCTTTACTGTATATCTCTCTTTTTCTGACCACATGGGCCTTTAATTTACTAAGGAATATGGAGAAAACAACACTCAAAAGCTCTTAAGGCATTTCAAGGTCTTTGCCAGGAAGCAAGCTGCAACATTGTGTCCATAGTCTGGACTGCCTGCTTGAAAGAGTCAGTTTTCCCTGGCAGGACGGCCCAGAAAGCCGACATTTTAAAACAGTGCAGCTGTTTTTCCTGCTACAGCTGAAAACCAAAATGCTTTACTCTAGTCTTTCCCAAGCTTTCTCAGGCTTTCTGTGGATGCAGTTTTCCACGTGGGCGCCATTCTATAACATGAGGGAGCCTGTTTGTTATTTGGGTTTTCTGTTCTGCCCCGCACCCCCCCCCAGGCGGTTAGGCAAAGAGAAAAATCACACACGGATCTCTGTAAGTTATAATGTTGATTGGCCCATTAGATCAGGCTTCTTACTGGTTAACTCTCATATCTTGATTAACCCATTTTTCTGATCTATGTTAGCCATGAGGCTCTGGACCTTTTCAGGGGGGCAGCTCACATCCTGCTGCTTCTGTGATCTGGGCAGGAATGGGAGGAATCAGTTTCCTCCTTCCCAGAATTCTCCTGCTCTCCTTGCATCATTTCCACTTCCTGTCTGGGTTTCCCACCTACACCTCCTGCCTGACCAATCAGCACTTATTTAAAACATGAATGACAGAATGCAGACAATTCTCCCATACCACTTTTCTGTAGTCCTTTTAGCCTATAAAAATCACACTCAAGTTAATACACTGATGCATATAAGCATTTTTTATTTTATAAAAACAGACAATAAACTTTTGTAGTAAGATCTAATGATTCTCTGAATTTCCTCTGTGTCTGTGGTTATATCCCCCTTTTCATTTCTGATCTTATTAATTTGCATGTTCTCTCTGCTATTTGATTAGTTTGGATGGGGGCTGGTCAATCTTATTGATTTTCTCCAAGAACCAGCTTTTTGTTTCATTGATTCTTTGGATTGTTTTCTGTGTTTCTATTTTGTTGATTTCAGCCCTCAGTTTGACTATTTCCAGTCTTCTACTCCTCCTGGGGGAAGCAGCTTGTTTTTTTCTAGAGCTTTCAGGTGTGCTGTTAAGTCTTCAATGTGTGCTTTCTCCGTTTTCTTTAATTGGGCACTTAGTGCTATGAACTTTCCTATTAGCACTGATTCATAATGTCCCATAGATTTGAGTATGTTCTGTCTTTATTTTCATTAAATTCAAGGATGACTTTAATTTTTTTCTTTATTTCTTCCTTTACCCAGGGGTGATTCAGAAGTTGAGTGTTCAGCTTCCATGAATTGTTGGCTTCCTGGGGTTAGCATTGTTTTTGTTTTCTAACTTTAATCCATGGTGATCTAGCAAGACACAGGTGGTTACTAATATTTTTTTTTGTATCTGTGCAAGTTTGCTCATGTGGTCAATTTTTGAGAAGGTTCCATGAGCTGTAGAAAAGAAAGTATATTCTTTCCTATTTGGGTGGAATGTTCTATAGATGCCTGTTAGGTCCCCTTGATTTATTACCTCCATTAATTCTCTTATTTCTCTGTTAGGTTTCTGTCTGATTGACCTGTCCATTGGTGTGTTGAAGTCTCCTACTATTAGTGTGTTTGCTCTGACAACTGCTTTGAGTTCTAGAAGTGTTTCTTTTACATAAGTGGGTGCTTTTATATTAGGGGCATAGATATTCAAGACTGAGACATCATCCTGATGAATTGCTCCTGTTATAGTATGAAATGTCCATCTCCATCTCTTCTGATTGATTTTAGTTTGAAATCAATTTTGTTAGATATTAGAATGGCCACACTCACTTGTTTCTTAGGTCCCTTTGCTTGAAAAAAACTTCTCTCAACACTTTACTCTGAGTAGATGTCTCTCTTTGTGGTTGAGATGTGTTTCTTGTAAACAGCAGAATGTTGGATCCTGTTTTTGTATCCAATCTCTTAGTATCTGTCTTTTAATTGGTGAATTCAGTCCATTGCTATTAAGTGACATTAATGACCAGTGGTTGTTGACTCCGGTTATTTTTTTGGGGGGGGGGATAGTAGCGTTTGTGTGTTTCCCTTCTTTGAGTTGTGCTTGTAAAGGGTCGCTAGATGTCTGAGTGTTTGTTGGCAGTGTTGGCAATGTTGGATTCCTTGGGTTGTGATTTTCGTTCTATTACTTTCTGTAAGGCTGGATTTGTGGCTACATAATGTTTAAATTTGTTTTTATCCTGGAATATTTTTTTTCCAGTTATAGTGAACAAGAGCTTGGCTGAGTATAGTAGTCTGGGATTGCATCCATGGTCTCTTAGTTTCTGCAGTACCTCTATCCAGG